GGGGACGAGCGCCGCCCAGCCAGGCGAGGCCGAGGCGGGAGGGGCCCGGGAGCCCGCCAGCCCCCCACCGCTGGCCTCCGAGGTGGGACGAGACAGGGCACCAACTGGCCTAGCCCCTTAGCGGAGAATCGGGGGCTGGAGGATGGACGGAGGCAGGTCGGGGGCTAGGGATTTTGCAGCCAGTTCCTGGAAGCCTGTGCAGAGGGGGCTGCCCGTTGGGCATTCCCTTAAAGGCATGGATGTGGGGGGGAGGGGTGGCTGAGGTTTCTGGGGAAACTGGAAGTTGGGTAAGATTAAGAGAAAATCAAGAGATTGGACCGGAGTGGGCGGAACTGAGTCAGGGCCGTGAGAATTGGAACTAGAATAGGGGTTGCCGGGAAGGAATGGGCTCAGGAATAGGACTGTCAGAGACAGAAGAGAATCGGCTGGGAGTCCCACCATAGGGGGTGATGATGCCTGAGGAAGGAGCCAGCTAAACAACTGTGGTCAACTTGGGCCTAGTGAACAGGGCCACTGAGGACATAGGGATAGGAGAACTCCAGAACCCCGGACTCTTCCATGAAGACCTCCAGGATTAGCCTAGCACCGTTTCCTCCCCACCCGAGAGCTAGCTAGCTTAGTCAGCAGTGGAGATGGTGTGTCCAGAAGGTGGTAAGATGAAGTGGAGTCATATGGGCCCTTTACCCTTTCTCTGTGAAGGTGGCGCAAGATGGCAAAGAAGCTGCATTAACCCAGACAAATAACACGTTTATTTCACAACAACGGAAAGATGGGTAAGGGTGGAAGTTGGGGCCACAGGTGCACAACTGTACACAGTCACCATCAACAGCCCACTTCTCACACTGAAGATGCAGCCTGGACTGTGGTGCCTCTAAGTCAACAGGCAGCAAAAAGGTGAGTGCAGAAGGGCCCTGAACCCCAAGGCCCCTGGAAGGCTAAGAGGTACAGCTCCAGCTATCCCAGGAAAAACAGCAATAAATAAGAGCAGGGCATGGCCCCACCCACCAGATCATCTAGTCACCCATCTTCACTTTGGAGGTCTGAAAAAGAAGAATGGGAGAAATCAGACAGGGGTAGAAGACCATTGATAAGACAGTGAACAAGACCTGACCCAGCAAGTCTGTAACCCAATAGACAGACAATAGATGATGACCAGACAGCAGACAAATGAACAAGGACAGCCAGATAAGAGTGTGGAACAGATAGATGGAGCAAAGTGGCATATAGTGTCAAGTCAACCCAGTCAAGCACCTCATCATTTGGCCCCTCAAGCTGATCCTTTAGGTCATAAGACATACTGTCTTGACAACATGTCAGACACAGATACAGGCCTTGAGAGAAACAGGTCAAGACGCACTGACATAAACAAGATCCCAACCCAATCCAGACCACAAAGACATCATCTGTATTTCCAGAGTCAGCAGCAGACAGGAAAAGGATAACAGATAAAAACAGAAAGAGGGTCTAAATGAGAGAAACACACAGCAACAGAGACAAAAACAAGGAGAAACAGGAGACTGGAATGAGGTGGTGGAAACTGTTATGGGTAGAGAGGGAAGCACTTTCCACTCCTCTGTAAGGAGGGTAAGGCTGAGAGGGGGGTAAGGACAAAGACTCCCCAATGGGATTTGGCACCTGAAGGATTGCGACGATGACCCCAAAGAGGCCGATGGCACTGCCAAAGATCTCCACGATGAGAACTTTTACAAAGAGGCTGGGGTTCTGTGCGTCGGCCAGGGCGGCCCCACTGCCCACGATGCCCACGCAGACTCCACAGAAGAGGTTAGACAGACCCACTGTGAGGCCAGCCCCAAACATGGAGTAGCCTAGGAATAGAGAGTTGCTCACTGAGACCAAGCCACATACAGGAGGGATGAAGACAGGGCCCAACATGGACTAATAGGACCAATCCCACCCCAACTCTGCAAAGCAGACCAAATAGCTGAGAGAGTATCAAAATGGGAGTCCAAGCTGGGAGGCAGGAGCTCTTTAGCGGGTATGAAGGCCCAGCTTTTCACCTTTAGACACCCACCCACCTACTCACCTGCGTGGTAGTTTCGATAGCCAATAGCTTTGGGATCAGTAGCACTGAAAGGCTAGAGGAGGGCAGGCAAAAAAAAAAAAAAATCAGAAACCATCCCTTATGCACCCACTTCCCCTCCCTGCAATCTCTACACAATGTGTAGAACACTGGAATGGATAACCAACCCTCACCCTGGTTTTCCTTACCTCAGCCATGTTGCTAATGACAATCGCCATAATAATGCCATAGATAGCCACAGCCTCACAGAATATGATACTGGCAGTGGTAAAGGTGGGTGAAGAAGAGAAGAGAAAAATATAAAAAAAACCAGCCTCCTGAAAGTCCTCAACCTTTCTTCTACTCACATCCCACCCTGTTGAGAGACTCATCAGAAGCAGTATGCCATCAAATCAAACACAGCTCTTCCTCCACCAAGGGCCCTTACCTGACCAGGTTCTTGGTCTTGATCCTGGGGGCTTTCACCCCTCCGCCAATGATGGAGGAACCAGTAATATAGATACCCCTGGTGGAAGGAGAAGCAACTAAGGAAAGGCTAAGACACTGCCCCGTGGATGACTAAGAACCAAATGATACCATTTGCAATGACTCAACCCCTCCCCCCAAGTCCACCATCCCAACACTCACCAGGCTGCCCCAACCACAGACAAGGAGATTGCTAGGCCAATGCCCAAGTTCGACCACATGAAGGGGGAAGTCTCAGTCAGGAACCTGGTGTCGAAAAGGGAAGAATAACTCAGCTCTTGTTGGAAAGGGGACACAAACCCCACCAGCTCACATGCTGTAAAGATAGCTTTCAATCTCCTGAAGACCCGACCCATGGTGTGTGTGGGCCAGGGGCTCAGATCACAGAGAGAAGCAGCTGTTAGGGGAATCCACTCCCTGCCCTCCCTTACCATGCCACATCGAAGCGGAAGCCCAAGTCAAAGATGGTGTAGCAGATTCCTGCAGCAGTGAGAAAAAGGATGAGGGACTGCTCTCGGGAGAAGCTCCCCAACCTAGAGATGGACTGTCCAGTTGGCGACCATCTAATCTACATTCAAGACAAGGAAGTGCTCGGGCTAGCTCCCCAAGTGAAACACATCCTTCGGCTCAGTCCTCCGTTTTTCTGCCACTCCCTCTAACATAGTTCCCTCAATGTCACAGACTCTTCACAGACGCGTTGGGCAGGTCTGAAAACCCTGGAGGCCAGGAGGGAGCAGTAAGTGTGGCCAGACTCTGCCAGACCCCACCGGATCCCGCCGGCGCCGCTGTTTACCCAACATGCTGTGAGGAATGACAAGGGGGAGGGGGGACGGTGTAAACGATGGAAAAGGCGAACCAGAGCGGCCGGCTGAGACCCAAGCAGGCTGGTCGCGAGCAAGAAAAGGGACGGAAGCAGTAAGATGCTATGACAGGACCCGTGGCTCCCACCTGCCGCCGCCCGAACCTGGCCTCCACAGCGGTCGGGGGCTCCAGCAGGTGGAAGGCAGGTCCGGGAGGCCAGGAGAGAGGCGCCGGGGCCTGCTGCTCCTGCAACCGCAGCCCCGGTGCCTCGAACCGGTCGGCTCGCCCCGCCGCTGCCCGCGCCCGCCCGGGCCCGGCCTCACCCACGACAGCCATGCAGGCCCAGAAGGCCACGAAGACCCCGGAATACAGCAGCACTAGCCCCGACATGGTGGCAACGACGGCGGGGGTAGGACTGGTGCAGCCAGAGCTAACCCGAGTCCCTGCGTCCACCTTCCACCCGCAGTCTACACACCCGCCCGCAGCGTCACCTGACGTGCCCACGTGACTCCGCGGTACCACGTGACCTCCACCGAGCCCCTGCGTGCTGCGTTGCTATCGGGCTAGAGCTTGGCGGCGGCGTCCGACCGACGCAGAGCATTGTGGTACTTGTAGTTCCGCCTCAGGGGCGGTTCTGGCGCCCTCTTGCCAGGTTCCAGCTCCTGTGGGTCTCTGGCCACCATCGTCCTTTTCAGTGTTGGGCTGTTTCTTCTGTGCGCAGCCTATTGCCTGGCTAACACCAGCTGGTTCTCAGTTCTTCCTTTCCCTAACCTATTGGCAGCTGTGTTGGCACCCAACTGTATATATCCCTAGTATGTACTGTTAACTAACACTCAGTAGTGGTCTCCGTGCGTCAGCTCTGAGTTCCCATTATGCCCCGTGATCCTTGTAAGGCCCTGTTACTCCTAGCTGAAATGCCCCAGCATTCCCATTTCACTTACAAAAGACAAAATCTTAACATTCGGCCAGGTGCTGGTGGTTCACACCTGTAATCTTAGCTACTCATGAAGCTGAGAACTGAGGATCGCGGCTCAAAGCCAGCCCCATGACCAACAATAAAAACAAAAAAACAAAATTCTGCCTATATAGCATCCCATGCCCCCACCCGGGGTGGGAGTGAAGGTGGGGTACTTTGGGGTGAGTTGGGGCACTGTGGGGTGATCTGGGGCTGGAACCCAGGATTTCTGGCATGCTAGGCAAGCATTCACCACTGAGTTGCCTCTCTGGGCCCCGAATACTCCACTGTCTATGGCTGCCCTCTTGCCTCCGCTACCTGTTAGCACATCCTACTTGTCCTTGCATCTGTTCTCTCTGCTTCTAATTAGCCATCGGGTTTTTTCTCTGTAACTTCTAGACTCTGCTCACTTTCAAAGGCTTTATCTGACCATCCTATTTAATACTGTAATGCCCAGCTTTGTATTTCCTTGGATGGCTTACTTACCACAACTGGCTATACTAAATATTGTATTCTGTCTACCTCCCCTGAAAGAATGTAAGCACTGTTGTATTCTAGTGCCTGACACAGTGGGTCCTCAATACATTTGTAGAACATGATTGATGCCCACTTTGTTCCAGTTTCCACAGCTAGTACACAGCTTTGCCTCTACCATTAGACAAAGTCAGGGAATTAGATCTGGACAATGCTGGTATATAAGAAGATTCTCAAGAAAAACAGAGAAGAATCAGTCATTTTTTTCACTTCACTTTCTCAACTTTTATGGTCTAGCAATTCTTTTTTTTTTGGTCTGGTCGTGGGCCTGGGCGCTGTCCCTCAGCTCTTCAGCTCAAGGCTAGCACTCTACCACTTGAGCCACAACGCCACTTCTGGCTTTTTTCTTTTTGCTTATGTGGTGCTGAGGAATCGAACCCAGGGCCTCAGGCATGCAAAGCAAGCACTCTACCACTGAGCCACCTTCCCAGCCCTAGCAATTCTTAATTTATTTATTTTATTTAATTTTTTTGGTCAGTCGTGGAGCCTGAACTCTGAGTCTAGGCACTGTCCCTCAGCTCTTCAGCTCAAGGCTAGCACTCTACCACTTGAGCCACAGTGCCACTTGCAGTTTTTTTCTGCTTATGTGGTGCTGAGGAATTGAACCCAGGGCCTCATGAATGTGAGGCAAGCGCTCTACCACTGAGCCACTTTCCCAGCCCACAATTCCACTTTACTTAAAGCACCCACCATGTCAGTTGATGGATGCCTGTAATTAAGCCCAAATGCTTTTTATTGTTTTGGGTTTGGTTTTTTCCCTCTGGCAATTATTATTATTTTTGTTGGTTGTGGGGCTTGAACTCTGGGCTTGGGTGCTGTCCCTAAACTCTTCAGCCCAAGGTGAGTGCTCTTCCACTTGAGCCACAGCACCACTTCTGGTTTTCTGGTGTTTAGTTGGAGATAAGAGTCTCACAAACTTTCCTCGCCTGGCTACCTTTGAACTGCAATCCTTAGATCTCAGCCTCCTGAGTAGCTAGGACTACAGGTGTGAGCCACTGGTGCTTGGCTCTTCTGGCAATTATTTTTTACTCTACAAGAACCGTCTTAGCCTTGCCTGAGTCTTCATCAAATGCCTGCTATGAGATCCACCTACACCTGGGATTCCCTCTTCACAGATAATACTGTTTCACTAGTTGGTCACTGCCTATTTAATTTTCTCTCTCTTATTTTTTGATTGGTCATGGGGCTTGAATTCTGGACCTGGGTGCTGTCCCTCAGCTCTTCAGCTCAAGTCTAGCACTCTACCACTTGAGCCACAGTGTTCTGGTTTTCTGAGTGGTTTATTGGAGATAAAGAGTCTCACAGACCTGCCCAGGCTGGGTTTGAACCATGATCTTCAGATCTCAGCCTACTGAGTAGCTAGGATTACAGACCTGAGCCACTGGCTCCCGGCTTAACTCACTTCTGAACCACATTAAGGCAGGAATCTAGTTAAATAAAATTCAAATCTCCACCCATAGGATCTGTACATGGCCTGACTATTGGATGAATAAAAAGAAACAGGAGAAAAAGTATTTGGCTTATTTGAGTTTCTGTAATGTCCCTGGGAAAACAAGCTTTGAATCAATGTAGACCAGCATTATCCAATAGAACTTTCTGTAACAGAGATGCCCGTTAGCTGTGCTGTCCCCTCATGCAGTTATTTGAGTACTTGAGATGTGATTAGTGTGACTGAGAAATAGAAGTTTTAATATATTTTATTGAAATTAAAATGGCCACATGTGTCTAGTGAATGTTATTCTGGACAGTGTAGTCCTAGACCAGTGGGAGTTCAGTAGAGGCATAACTACTGCTGGTTATGTCACTAAAAAGGACATTCCCATTGTCTAGAGACATTACCCAGACTAAAATGTCAACAGTGCTTAGGTTGTGAAATCTTGCTTTGAACCACCTAACACATCTGTCCCTTAACAAGGGCAGATGGTCACCTGTAGATGAAGAACTGTGTGTGACTGGCTAAAGGTCTTATGTTGTGCTCACAATAGATGGGCCCAGAAGGCCTCTGGGAAATCCCTAAGCCCTTTTCCCCATCAAACAACGCATTTACTGAGCCAATATGAGCTAAGCCTCTCAGTACCAGGAGAAGAGGACATGGATTCTGTTTTCAATGAGGGACCATTGACATCTCTCCATTCAGGCTCCTTCAAGGATCTTAGAGCATTAAAGATCCCAACAGAGACTCTTAAGTTTGTGTGTCTGGTCTACAGTATCAACTGCTTCCCTCATTCTCATAGGCAATGGCAATCCCTCGTCTTCCACTCACAGCTTCTGTCACAGGAGTCTGACCCAGGCATGGCTCCAGGCCCTGCCAGCTCCGGGAATTAAGGAATGAGGCTGTAGAGAGAGGGAGCATAGTCTAAGCAGCTGGACTTGGGGAAGAGCCCAGCAGGTGGTGGAGAGCTGTACACTTACCTGCAGGGCTGCTCTCAGCCAGCTGCAGTGAGGGCCGAGGGGTCAGGGCAGAGCACCCAGGATCATTTGATGACTTCCAAGAAGGTGGGGGTCGGAGCTCCCCAGAAATGAGCGACACATCTGGGGTGTCCCACAGCTCTGACTCAGGTGGTGGGAGGGGCACATGGAAAGGAGAGCCTGGAAGGGAGAAAAGAAATCAATACTGGTTCCCAGACTCTATATCCCAAGTTTCTATCAGGAGTGTCCCATCACTCACCAGGTAACAAGTCTGCATAATGTGTGAGGTATGGAGCCAGGCCTGGAGGTGGCCAAGCAGGGTTGCAGGCAGCCTCCAACTCACATGGTGTCAATATAGGCCGGAAGAAGCTCTCAGAAGGATACGGGGCTAGGGCACCCAGAGGACAAGCCAATAGCACAAAGACATCCATCTCAGGGAAGTTGGCAAGTTTGGCAGGGGTGGGCCGTCCCAGGGCCAACACATAACTACGTTTGCCTGCAGCCTGAGTCAGGTTCCTCAAGTGTGCCAGTGCTTCACGGTGTCGGGCCACACCCAATGTGCCCACCAGCAGCCCTACCACACGGGCATCTCTGGCCCTCTCTACCAGGTATCGTCTTCGTGCTCTTAGCCGTCCAGCCCGGGCACTCTCATCCTGTATCTGTCCTGTGTCTGGGCAGCAGGAAGAGAAGGGCTTCCCTGGTGCCCACCCTAAAAGCAGCCTGCTCAGGTCTGGGTCAAGATCAGGGTTGGCCTCAGAACCCCCCACATAGAAAGCATCATATTCTTCCAGTCTCCTCCCTGGGGCTAGAGGAAAGTGACGCCCAAAACACTCCAGAGGCTCTGACTCTGGATTGGAAGACTCGACTGGCAGATGAAGAGCTGGACTAGAGACAAGCAGATCTTGATACTTCGGGCGCAGGAGAGTGGCCAAGGCCTCTGGAGGAAAAAAAGGAATGTAGTATCAGGGTTGAGGCATAGAAAAATACAAGATCCCTTAACCCCAGGAGACTGGAAAACAAAGGCTAGGCCAACCCATGTCAAGAGCTCTACAGGAGTGTACTGAAATGGGGAATTTCATGGCCTATCTTTTTTTTTCTATACAGGCATAATCTCTCACCCAGGGCATGGGCACAGGCTGGCTCGCTCAGCAGTACCACAGGTGCTGTGGGGTCTGGGTTCTGGGCTTCAAAAGCCTTGGCACAGAGCTCCAAAGCCACAAAACGTTGACCAAGGATGAAGGCAACAGGCAGTGGTCGAGCTGGAGGGCTTAAACAGGCAGGGCCAAAGTGTACAAGGGCCTGAGCTCCAGCTTGCTCGGCACCCAGCACATCCACACAGCAGCTGCAGGAGAGATACCATCGTGAGATCTGTTCCCACCCCAGATAAGCTGTCACCAATGGGAACTATGGTCAGTGAGAGGAATCACTGTCATTATCCTCACCGTCATCACCACCACCACGCTATTCATCATCATTACCATGTTATTGGAGGCAAATGCTAACTAACAAGCAGGGAAATCCCAAGCCTGGACTGCAGGCCTACCCCATTTACGCCCAAGTTCACACCTGCCATAGGCGGTATCGCCTAAAATGAACATCTTCGATCCAGTGGTCTCTTCTAATCGTGCAGCTACGGCTCCTGCATCTCCCAGTAGTTGGTCAGGGAACTGCAAGGCCACCTTTAAGCATAAACCATGGAGTCAGAAACAGCTTCTCCCGCATCACAGAAAACCTCTGGGACTCCCCCTACCCCCTTCTCCACCCATACTAAGCCTTCAAAGATCCCAGAGGAGCCCTCGTCCTATCTTGTCCTCAGAAAATCTCCCCAAGATCCCGATCCTCTAGACGACACATACTCGGAGACGAACACCCCACCACACACATACCGTAAGTCGGCCCTTACCCGCTGACATTGCCGGTCTCGGACAAATCCAACAACTCTCTCCAGCTCGTACACTCGGTCGAGGTCCGCAGATGGAGTGAGCAATCCTGGGACGCCCGCCTCCCTCTGCAGGGCCACCTCTGCAGGGCTGCTGAACGTAGACTCCATTAGGCACAGCTTGCGTGTCCGGACTCAGCGGGAACAGTTTGGGGAAAATTTTGTCTTAAAAATAGCTCTCGGAAGGGTAGGGGCAGAGATGTTTCGCTGAGGGACAGAAACATTCCCTTCAAACTCGTTTCTCCACCACACATGGGTTTGTGGGGCGATTACTTCCGGGTTTGAGGCGTGGCCTATGGCAGCCTCACCAATCCTAGGCTAGCACTGTTACCATCTTCCAATCACCGCCTAGCACAGAGAGCCAATGAACAACCTATGCTGAGGGCAGGTCGGAAGTGCCTCGGTAGGAGGCGTGATGCATACTGGGTGTTGTAGTTTCACTGGCTCCTGGCCCCCTCTCCCTCCTCTTCTAGAGTGCTTCTATCAGCCTGTTGCAGGCACTGGCACTCCCCTCCAGAACACCGGCCCCCTAAGTTACTACCCCAAGTTGAGTAGCACCTACGTGCCGTTCATGTTAAGCAGCTGTGCACACACTACTTTTTTTTTTTTTGCCAGTCCTGGGGCTTGAACTCAGGGCCTGGGCACTGTCCCTGAGCTTCTTTTGCTCAAGGCTAGCACTCTACCAGTTAAGCCACAGAGTCACTTCTGGCTTTTTCTGTTTATGTGGTATGAGGAATGGAACCCAGGGCTTCATGCATGCAAGCACTGTACCACTATGACACATTCCCAACCCGCATTGTGTAATTTTTATCTCAGTGCAAACTGCCTGGATCTGAAAATTGTGTTTGGCTACTTATGAGTCTTACAGGAATGTCTATGCCAATTTCCTTATCTGAAGAATAGGTGGTTTAACAACAGTACTTCCTGATGGGATTGTCTTGAGGGTTGTTTATTTATAATACATTGAGGTAGTTATTTACATCTCATTTGCTATTATCCTCAGTAGTCTGTCAATCAGGCATTGAGCAGTACTGTTCACCAGAGACAATTTTTATGAGTCCTGGGCTTGAATTCAGGGCCTGGGCTCTGTCTCTGAACTTTTTTGCACAAGGCTAGCATTCTACCACTTGAGCCATTTAGTGAAGTTCATTGGAAGTAAAGAGTCTCAAGGATGTTCTTGCCTGAGCTGGCTTTGAATCATGATCCTCAGATCTCAGCCTCCTGAGTAGCTAGGATTACAGGCCTGGGCCACCAGCACCTTTTGAGACTACATTTCTAAGGTTTTTTTTTTTTTGGGGGGGGGTGTTTGCAAGAATCCTTAAGACAAGGAAACAGAGAATTGAAGACTCTACTTGTCTAGCAGTATACCATAGGTTTACATCCAACACAACAGATCAGTGGCACAATAAACTTGAAAGCCAGTTCTTCTGATTTCAAAAGCTCTCATTTCCTACTTTATATACACTATATTTGCCATGGGAAGGGGAGGGGAGGTAAAAAACAGCTGGATGCCATGTATTAGAACTAAAGGACCAAAAGTATGTATATTTCTGCGTGCACAAAGAGATGTAACATCTCTGCGTAGTACAGATGAAGAGTTAGGTGATAAGAGGATTGAAGGGAGGGCAAATTATAATAAAGTGACTGATGCTATCTGGTGCAGGAAGAAATTGAATGAGGAAGAATGGAGAACACAGAACTCATGCAGAGGTCAGCAGTGGCTCAAGTCTATAAGCCTAGCTACTCAGGAAGCTTAGATCTGAGAATTGAGGTTTGGAATCAACCAGGGCAGACAAATAGGAGACTTAAAAAAAAAATAAAGCAGTGCACAAGACCCTGAACTCAAGCCCCAGTAAGTATTAGAAAAAAATGGGGGAGGGGATGTGGGACACATGGACATAACCTCATCAAGGGACTCAAACCTCATGGGTCAGAATGGGGAGAACTGGGCCTTTCTCTCTAGATCTTACTGAGAAGGCTGTGGTGCTGGAGAGGGAGCCCAGATGTATCTATGGCTGAGGAGGCTGAAAGTGGGGGCAATTCTGCTAAGAAGGAAGAGTAGACCAGCAGCTGTCCCTGGTCCTAAGTGAGCCCTCATCATGTGCTATAGATACATAAACAATACTAGGTCCTGCCTTTCTCCTCCTTCAGAAGCTTGCAATGACTTTTCCTCTCCCCTATACTTTTTTTCTAGCCGTTTTCAACCATGTGTAAGTTGAGGTGCTACAAAACCTTACACTGGCCATGTGCCAGTGACTCATGCCTGTAATTCTAGCTATTCAGGAGGCTGAGATCTGAGGATAATGGTTCAAAGCCAGCCCTGGGCAGAAAAGTCCATGAGACTTTTTCTTTTTTTGTGGTCGTGGGGATTGAACTCTGGTCCTGGGTGCTATCCCTCAGCTCTTCAGCTCAAGGCTACCGCTCTACCACTTGAGCCACAGTGCCACTTCCTGGTTTTTGGAGTGGTTTATTAGAGATAAGTCTCACCAACTTTCCTGCCTTGGCTGGCTTTGAACTATGATCTTCAGATCTCAACCTACTGAGTAGCTAGGATTATAGGTGTGAGCCACCGAGGCCTGGTCCCTGAGACTGTTATCTTGAATAAACCACCAGAAAGCCGGAAGTGGCTCTGTGGCTCAAAGTGGTAGAGGGCCAGCCTTGAGCTGAAAAGCTGAGGGACAGTGCCCAGGCCGAGTTCAAGCCCACAACCGACCAAAAAAAAAAATCAAAAACCCAAAAAACCCTACATTGAATACCCTCTAGGAAACTCAAAACCCCATCCATTTCTTCCTTTCCAAGTGGATCTACCCAAGGCCCCAAGTCCTGTGCCTCCTAGGCTTCCTAAGCCTCCTATTCCTATAATTCAGCCTTCCTCCCTGTTTGCAAGGCATAGCATGATAGCTATGAACTATATCAGTCTTTGTTTAGGGCAGAGCTAAAACATAGTTCTCAGTACTAATAATTTAAAAACGTATGCATGCATGCATGCATAGCACACTTAGGCTAATTTAATAGGAGTAAGAGTTGCCAATACTGCTCCATTGCTCCCACTCCAAGGGCAAAGACAGCCTTTTGAACGACTCCAGCCTAAGCAGCTGGCCATATCTGTACCTTCTATTACCACAGGAGCCAGAGGGTGTCCCCATAACGCCAAATCAAAGCCTGGGTCTAATGTTCCCCCCATCCTTCTCAGGTCTCTAGACCTAGGCTTTCAGTTAGGAGATAGTGACAGCACAAAGGAAACAGACAAACAGTGTGGGTCTAGGTTTACTCTTTGGGGACCGGAAAGGGTGAGAAGGGTACAAGGGATAAAGACACCCCTCAGTAGTCAGCTGTGTAATCTGTGCCATGGAGCCCCCGACACAGCAATGTGAACTCCTTCACCATCTCCTTCACCCGCCTCTTGTTCACTCGTTCACTGGTGGAGGGAAAGGAGAGCTGGTTAGCACCATCCACTAACACTGTCACCTCCTCCCTACCTGAGCCCACTGCTCTGCTCACCGAAGGATCTGTTGGCTGAAGGTATCTTTCTGTTCAGGGCTGAGGCGGGCGGAGGGAAAACCAGGTGGCTGTAGCGCCTCCTTAATCCACATGCTCAGGAGGCTGAAGCAGTGTTTGTTCAGGGCAAACAGGATGTCGGCAAAGCAGTCCATGAGGCTGCGGGAGGCCTGGCCCCCAATGGCCTGAGGGAGAGGGGCTCTCAGTACACCAGGGCCTTGCCTCTTCTGCAGCCAGGAGACATAACCATGCTCCAGACTCTCCCAGACAATTCTGCAGCCAAACTACACAAGTAAGCCAGCCAGTCCTCACAATAATCTCAACAACCTTCAGCCATTTTAATTGGGGAAGAAACAGAATCTGAGAGTTAGGGAATCAAAGGCAAAAGCCCTGCAGAACACTGTCTTAGCAGTGAGGGTCTCCCCGTACCATGTACCTCGAGCACTGCTATGAGCAGCATCCGACCATCCTCCTGCACCACCTTTCCCACCGGTTCTACTTCCCCACATCGAGGCAGCAGCTCTGTCTGCAGAGGAAGGAGAGGGCTGTCAGCTTCCACTTTTTCCCGCCTCTTTCTAAGGACAGGATCCAAATACCATACCCCTACCTTCTAGAGTCCTGGGCAGGGCAGGGCAGGGAGTAGGGGGGAGGCCAGGGGTCAGCATGGGACTCACAAAGAAGCCACAGGAGGCCTTGACAGTAGGTGCCTCAGGGAACTTGAGGGCCAGCACAGCTGTGGGAGAGGCAGAGACAGATGAGATTTGGCCTAAGGCTCCTCCCAGGGAAGCCCCAGGCCCACCTGTCCACCTGCCCCCACTTACCACACTGGAACACAGCTTTGACATCCAGTCGTTCACACAGGAACAAATCTGGCTTCCGCTTCAGAGCCTGCAGGAGGTGCAGCTGGTAAGCCCAGCCCCAGCCAGCTCCAAGGACCATCCCCCCCACTCACCTGCCACCCGAGCCCCTAACTTCACGCATCACAGGTAGAAGATGCTACCCAGTCATCTCTGAGGAAGCCAAACCACCCCACAGTTCAGCTGGTCAGATGAGGAACAGGCCAAGGGATGCTATGTACATGTAGTATGTACATGAATCCACAGGTGTATGCAAGAGAGGTTGTGGGTAGGAAACACAATGCAGAATATTTGGGTCCCAACCAAGTCACTCTCTGAGTAAGCACCTTCCTATCTTCCCTCCCCCAGACTCTAGGCAGACAGTAGTGACATCACTTCCATTCACAGAGGCCCTCTGGGTTTGTGAACAGAGCAGCTAAGAGATGGCAGCTGGACAGTTAGCCCCCGCTCAATAACCCCCATCTCATGTCCTGCCTTCATTCCTCAGGCTCCCTCGAGCTGCTGTTCAAGAGGAAGAAAAATAGGACAGGAGCCTTGGAGCCCCAGCCCCATCTTCCACCCAGGAAACCATGTGGTCAGGGCCTTGTTAGCCATTATCCACCCTAGTAATCAGTGCTATTATGTGGGGAGCAGAGTACAAGGGGCAGATGGTCTGCCTCAAGTGGTACCAGACATGGCTGGCACATCCTCAGGTCACAGAAGATGCTTGGCTTAGCTCCAGCACCCCTCAAATGCTGCTGTTCTCCAGTGATGCTCCCAGAGCACACCACATAGACCCCCCCACCCTTTGACCCCTCACATACCCTGTATGCCCATGTTTCCTCCTGTGCATACCCTCACATGCACCCTCACTTGAAATACCCTACTTAAATCCAAATTTATCTACACATCCAC